CCCTTTTTAGGAGCAGCTGCTTTTTTAGTACAGGTAAGTTTTGTTCTGTTTTCCTTCAGTTCCAGTGAGTGTGATCACTGAGATTAAACCAAACTGAGGATATGGTTAATAGTTTATGGCCAAACTGATGGAATAAATCAGTATGTGAAAAAAACACACAAGACAACTGTTTTGTGGGGGGAAAGTATCCTTTATTTTTATGCTGCTGAAATGGCAAGGTAAAATATATCAAAATTAACAACAACATCAATAATAACCTGGCAGGGGAAAAGTGGCAGAACCAAAACGGGCTTGCTTGCCAAGATCGGAAGCCACCTGGTCAGGCAGCCCCTTCCTGCTCCCTACAGACTAAGCAAAACTCCCTTCCATCAGTCTGGGCTTTCCGAAATAAAAGGAAGCAAACTCCAGCCATGTGCCAACCGTGCTCATTTCTTGGCACAGAACTTTTATTCAAAATTCAAGCCAGGGGCAGAAATTTCCCAAAGAAGAAGTCACTGAGACAAGAAGAGGGAGAAAGAGAGCGCCTCCCCCTCGATCCGGTTATCCTTTGGTTTCTTTGCCACTCCTCCCTTCTTCCTTGACACAAAACCGAGATGTGGATGTCCAGAAAGGGCAGCCAAAGTGCAGGGAGAGCCCGGGGGGGAGGGGGGTCAAGAAGGTGGAGGGACTGGGGCGCCGCATGGCAGGCGGAGAACCAAGAGAGCGATTGTCCTCTTTGCTAAAACGCAGGCACGGCCATGGATTTTGGCTGCGTCAGATCGGAATTGTCCTCCCACATTTTCTGAGCGGGCTGAAGGCTGGCTTTGTGCTGCAAGGCCTTTGTGAGTCCTTGAAGGTGCCACACCATGTCCTGCTGCTGCTGCTGCTGGAAGAAACCAGCACAGGCCCCCTCCTGGTGAAACTTCGAAGGATCTAATCTTAAAAGGGCAGAGCTGGAAGGGACCTCTAAAGGTCATCAAGTCCTGCCCTCATCAAGGACGCACCACGGGGGAATCAAAATCTTAACCTCTGGCTCCGCAGCCAGACACCCTCTTTACCGGATCAGCTTCACTCTTCCCAAAAAAGCCCATTCCCGCAAAGTGGCAGATCGCAGCAACAACAACAACAACAAAAATACATGCAATGGTTAACCTGTCCTTTGGCGATGCAGAACCTTCCTCAGGGCTTCCCGGACTTCCTGGTTGCGCAGGCTGTAGATGAGGGGGTTCAGCATGGGGGTGACGATGCAGAACATGGAGGAAACCAGAGTGTCCGTCGCTAGGGAGTAGCCAGCCCTCGGCTGGTTGTAGTTCAGGAATCCGTTTCCAATGTAGAGGGTGACCACGGTGATGTGAGACCCACAGGTGGAGAAAGCTCTCTGCCTGTCCATGTTGGAGTGGAGGCGCAGGATGGAGGCCAGGATGTAGAAGTAGGAGAGGATGATGAAGACGAAGGGCACCGGGCCCACAAAAGTGCTTGTGATGTGATTAACCAGATCGTCGGCATGCGCATGACCACAAGCAATTTTCATGAGTGGTGGCACATCGCAGTAGATGTGGGGAACCAGGTTGACTCCACAGAACGACAACTTGGAGGCCAGGGCTGTGTAAACAGCTGAGTTCAGGAAACCCCAGAGCCAAAGGGCTGAAGCAAGCATAACACATACCCTGTTACTCATGAGGTGGGTGTAGTGCAAAGGCTGGCAAATGGCAGCATAGCGGTCGTAGGCCATGATGGCCAGCAGGGCAGGTTCAGTTCCAGCAAAGCCGATCAGGAAGAAGACCTGCGCCAGGCACCCATTGTAGGAGATGGTGTGTCTCTGGCGCACAACGTTCACCAAGATCTTGGGAACCACAGTGGAGGACAGGCAAATATCTAAGAAGGAGAGATGGCTGAGGAAGAAGTACATGGGGTTGTGGAGACGGGAATCCCGGATGACCAGGGTTAGGATAGTGAGATTGCCCATGACAGTCACCACGTAGGTGACCAGGAACAAGAAGAAGAGGGTGATCTGATAGCTTGGATGGCTGGGAAATCCCAAGAGTTTAAACTCTCTGATCTGCGTCTGATTCTCAGCATCCATCAGGAAGGAGAGAGGTTACCGTATCTGAGAAGAGAGAAAAGGTGCATTTGAAGAAACCCCCAAACCTGCTGGGTTTGCCTTTCCTCTCAACCGTAGGCAAGCTGGGAAGGAGGCTGACCACGAAGTTAGCCTGAAGACTCTCAGGGCTGGATGGTACAGTGCGGACAACCCTCAAAGAGGTGGAATTGTCACAGCAGGAGCTTCCCATGCAGTTTGCACTTTATTTTCCCACTCTCTGGCACAGAGACTAATTCCCTTTTCCAAAGGTCGCTCTCCTCTGTACCTCCCTCGCTCCTTTATTTCATTCCGTAGAACGATAGAATAGTGATGTTGGAAGGGGCCTATGAGGCCATCAAGTCCAACCCCCTGCTCAAGGCAGGAATACAAATCAAAGGATACCTGCCAGGTGGTGTTCTAAGTTTCTCTTGAAGGCCTCCAGTGTTGGAGAGCTCACCACCTCCCCCTGTGGTCACTGGTTCCGTTGTCATACTGCTTTAACAGTTAGGACTTTTTAAATGATTTTCATCTGAAATTTGGCCTCGAAAACCTGAGCCCATTATAATGTGTCCTACGCTCTGGGATGATCAAAAACAGATCCTGCCCCTCCTCTATAGGACAGCCTTTCAAATATTTGGAAAGTGCTATCCTATCCCCTCCGTCTTCTTTTCTCAAGGCTGAACGTGTCTAGTTCTTTCAGCCTTTCCTCCTAAGACTTGATTTCCAGTTCCTTTGATCATCCTTTGTTGCCCTCCTCTGAACTTGTCATCATCCTTCTTAATGTGCGGTGTCCAGAACTAGACATAGGACCCCAGATGAGACCTTAACTAGTGCTGAATAGAGAGGGAACAAGCACCCTACGGGGGTTTGGAGACTGTACTTCTGTTAATGCACCCTAAAATAGCGTTGGCCTTTTTTGTAGCCACATCGCACTGTTGGCTCATATTCAGCTTTTGATCTACGACAATTCCAAGATCCTTCTCGCTTGTCATTTTGCTGAGCCAGGGATCCCCCATCTTGTAACTGTCCAATTGGTTCCTTTTTCCAAAGTGCAGGACTTTGCACTGATCCCTCTTGAATTTCACTCTGTTGCTTTGGGCCCAGTTCTGTCTTCTAGGGTATTAGCTATTATGCCCAATGTTGTATCAGCTGCAGATTTGACAAGCATTCCCTGCACTCCCTCATCCAAGTCATTAATAAAAATTTGGAAGAGCACCAGGTCCAGGACTGAGCCTTGGGGTACTCCACTAGTTACGTCCTCCCAGTTAGAGAAAGATCCATTAATCATCACCCTCTGAGTACGATT